AAAAAATACAGTTATTTTATATATAATATCGACTTGTTCTACTTTTTGTCATTTTGACCAAAAAAAGGGTAGTGTGTCTTTTTTTAACAAACTGCATACCCATATTCCTTATTATTTTGCAAATAATTAATCTAATGAATTTCTTCATAATTTATTTCCGCCTTAGTTTAGCTATTCGATTAGACTTACAGAGAGCCTTCGGTGACTTTAGCTTGTACCGCCATCCTTTGCTCGTGTATTCTCATTTTGTCAAACATTCCTTTTTAATATTTCCCCCTTGCACTCCGAACAGACTTTAAAAGTAAAATTGTGTTCTTGTTAAAATCCAACACATCCTATTATAAGCATATAACTTTAGATCTATTACAAATTTATAGATTTATCTCACTTATTAATGATCGACTATTAAACCTCTACCTTACAGTATCGAGGAATCGGCTATTGAGCTAGAACGAGTCCTTCTTGAACCTCGTGTCCGTCGATTTGCCTCAACAGTTACTTCCACAGACTGCTGTTGTTGTCTCTTTCCTGGCGATGCTCGTGATCATCCTTATATTGACAACCAGCAGTCGGGAGTCGCTTCGAAGCACGCTGTTTTCGCACTTGGCCTCATTATTGCCCTCAATAAGATCGATCTGGTCCAAGATTCGGAGCTACGTCGTGCAGTCTCTATATTCAGAGCTACCTTGACAGATGCTAGTGTCCTCGGTTGGTCAAGCTCATTGCTTCATAGCGATTCAACTGGAACCTCGTCTTCTTCATCTTGGGACCAGATTGGTCGACAAGCTAACTTCTCTTTAGGCTTAGTGCCAATCTGTGCTGTGAATGCTCAAGGCATAGATCGACTTGGGGATCTAATCGTCCGAGTCTACCGGGGGGAACTATTAGAGCCGAAGGAACAGGCTTTTACACCCTCTATTGCACCACTTGGGTCGATCAACAATGACGTTGACTATCCGGATGACGGAAAAACAAAAATGGAGTCCGCAGGCAATCATGCAAGAGAGCCGTCAGCCTATACAAATAATTCACGAAGTCAAAGTGTCTATCTAACCAGATTCTAATTTTTTTCCACTTGATACTCCGATGTGAGCAAGGCATCATTTTTTGCTCTTTTATACAACCCTCTTATTTATTGATATTTAGACTTTTCCTTTGCAGCAATATGGCCTAAAATGTATGTGAGGTCTTTCATAAGCTGATGACCTATTCTTATATTTTTATTAAAAATCCTTTTAATATTTTTAAAAATAATATTTATTTTTTTACAAAAAAAATCAGTCCTTTAAATTTAATTCACAAGATGCATATCTTAATCTTCCTTTTGAACACATAAAATTTGTACAATTGAGCAATCTGAAATAATATTTCGTCCATGTATAATAGTATACATTTTTGCCCTAGTATGTAATTTTATATAGATTACTCACCTGCTAAACATTTGAAAAACTCTTTCTATCCAGAGGAAAAATTAATCATAGCATCGTACACAGTTTAAGACTTATAGGGTCTG